TGGATGGGGCTTGGAGCAACCTGGTCTAGTGGAAGATGCCCCTGCCCTTGGCAGGGGGTTGGAACTGGACGAGCTTCAAGGTCCCTTCCAACCCAAACCATTCTATGATTCTATGAAAACAAGGTGCAGATCCAGCCTTTACGCAAAGTGGGATGCACCGCTGCTACCAGCTGAGCCCCTCCACAGGTGATGTGGACTGGTATGAGAGGCAAGTGTTTAGCACATGGTGAGACTAAGAGCTGGGAGGGAGGGCAAGGGGAAGCAGATTCTTGTTCTCTCAGCACAGCTCAGCCAGGATCTCCCTGCTGCTGGTTCTGCCTCCTGCAGCGGGTGGGACCTCAGCATGCACTCCATCCTATCCCCAGGCACCGTAACATGCTGTCAGGCAAACACTGACAGAGCAAAGGCACCCGCTGGCAGACCAGCACCCTGCTTTTCACTGTAATTTCCATTTCACTTGCAGGACACTAACCCAACACCATTAATTTAGGCACTGCATAAGCCAACAACCCCATCAGATCCAGCTACAGCACTCTACCTTGTCACATGCTGGTGTCTGCAGCATTTATTTATCCCCAGAGCCCAGGGAAAGGGAGGTGGGGCTCAGGAGCTGCAGAAGTTGCTGTGGCAGCTGTTTGGCCAGTCCCCAGCACGGGCTGGATGAGGACTGAATTTGACGCAGCTGCATTCAGAGCTCCTGCAACGGCTCTGACCCAAGAAAGAACATTTCCCTACTCCTGCAAGGAACAGGGATGTCCTGAGCCTGTGTGGAATTAGCGTTCCCACATGGGATAGGCTGAAGGTGATGGGGCTCTCCCACTGTTGCCACCTGCAGGGAGGTTCCCCTCCTGTCTGAAGGGAACAGAGATGGAAGCGAGATCCCAAGCCTGTACCTTGTCCTCCAGCCGGTCCATCAGAGCTGGGGAGATGTGCCCAACCTTGCCCATCAGCATCACCACGGTTCGGGTGCCCTCAAGCTCTGTCCAACGCAGCTCCAGCTTCTTGATGATTTCGTTCAACAGCTGGCTCTCCTTCCCCTGCCTGACCGCCAAGAACTCCGCCAGGGAGGCAAGATGCTTAAAGGTGAAGCGCCGCAGCCGCCACAGCACCTCCTGCTCCACTGACTGCATCTCTCTACTGTTTCTGTCCATCCCTAGGGAGTAGAGGCTCTTCAGAAGATTCACCAAGGTGTTATTCCACACCTGAGAAATCTGGCAGCAAAAACAAGGGAAAGGTGTTGATGAGAGACAGCACGAGAGTATTCAGTTGCCAGTCATGCCAACACCAAGCAATGCTCTCTCTATAGAAAGAACTGCACAGTAATGGGGGGGTGGCAAGACAGAACTCCTTAGGCTGAGGACGTCTAGCTGTCTCTCACTACCACTCTGCTCCTTGTCACAGGTGTAGCCTGCACGGTCAGAATCAAACCCAGGGCCTGGTGAGGAAGGGGAACCTCAATGCCTGTACCAGAGACTGAAGCCATGCAAGGATCCCAGCAGCATGTATGAGCTGAGGAGTAACCACACACATCACTTAAAGAGCTCTCGCTGCTTCAGAAAAGCAGCTACACAGATTCATCAGCTGGGTGAAATACTCAGGCTTCACCCTTCCCTGAAAGCACTTAAGCTTCCTTGTGGTGTGGCTGGTGAAATGAAGAGCTGTGGGAAAGGGTTATAGTTCAGAGGCAGAAGCTTGAGGGTCTTGGGGAGGAAATGACATGGGACTCCAACTTGTCTCTGCATCTCAGGTCAGATGATACTTATCCTGAAAGCTTTGATTTCTCTCCAGTGTCTCTGAAAGTGTCTTCTCTGTGAGGCCCTGGCATGAGGCCCTGGCACAGGTTGCCCAGAGAAGCTATGGCTGCCCCATCCCTGGCAGTGTTCAAGGCCAGGCGGTATGGGGCTTGGAGCAACATGCTCTAGTGGAAGGTGTCCCTGCCCATGGCAAAGGGTTGGAACTACATGGTCTTTAAGGTCCCTTCCAACCCAAACCAGTCTGTGATTCTATGATATGATACTATGAAAGGAGGCTGGGCACAAATCCCACCAGCTGTTGGAGCACCAGGTCCTGCCCAGTCCACACTCTGCCTGCCCACCACCAGCAGCCCCAATGTGAGGCAAAGCTCATGATTTTCTACCAGCCATTGCTCTTCCAGCTTTCACCTCCTTCAGCATCCATGAGTGAATGCTGGGTACCTGTTTCCAGCCCAAGCTTCCCCAGCTGTGCTCTACTGCTGCCAGGCAGCACTAACAGGCAATTCCAGTCTGAAAGCTCTCCCGATTTGTATAAAAATGAACTTGATCCTTAGCACAACATCAGTTCTCATGAGCCCTTCAGAAAGCACCACTGTACTAGCCACCCTGGTACAGAGCATTGCACCTGTGCTTGACACAGCATCCCAAAATGGTTGCAGGAATGAGGAGTTGCTTCTCAGAGTGACTGTGCAGGAGGGAAGCGAGGCAGTGCCATGAGACGTTGAATTGCAGGCAGGAGGGGCCACGAGGGTTTGGGCAAACAAAGGCTTTAATTCTCTGATCTGTCCTAACTCCATCACTTCTACCAGCACAGTAAATTCCTAAAGTTCAGCACCTTGGGCACAAGAATGACCTGAGCCCTGCCCCAGTGCTCTGCTAAAATCTGAAACAAAATCATATCAGGATGCAGCTGACAAAGGAGCAGAGCTTGTGATGTGGCCCAGTGCACTCAGAAGGTCACAACGAGAACCAGACTGCTCCCCCGGCTGATGCCTTACCTTTTTCCCCCCATTCACGTGTACAAAGCTCACCTCACTGTCTTCTAAGAGCCCTTCTCCTCAACACTGACCTGCCCCATGCCTCAGCTACTGCTCAAAATCTCTGCCTTGTGGACATAAGGACATTGCAAGCTGATTAATTTCAGTTTCTTTGCATCAGAGTGTCTTTGCATCTACACAACAACCTCTGATGTTCACTTATCCACATCTGTGGCTGCAGTAACAGCTCACTGGAGAAGAACAAGCATGTCTGCAGCAAGTTTGCTTGCTTTACATCTCAGAATTCCTACCTACATCCCCCTTGGCTGTTTTCTACACTGCCTCACTTATTGTATCACTTGTGTAGTATGACAGCTCGATTTTGCCAGCGCTGGGGCATCAATTCCTCACCAAGGGGTCCCAAGGACCCCTTGGGAGCCCCTTTGATCAACTGGGGTGACAATGACACAGGACCATGTAGATCAGAAGAAGCCAAACTTTCAATCCAAATACAGTGGGACAGAACCATTACAGCCTATTATGAAGGTAAATGGGCAGCCTCAGGACAAATCCCTTGACAATCCCTGCTATCCTTAGATGGGGTTTAGGGAGCAGAGATTATAGGTAAACACAAATACAAGGTGTCTGCAGAGCACTTGTACACCCAGGGCCCTACCAGGAACCTCATCAAGTTCATAATGCAAGTTCACAGGTCAGAGCAACCTGCTGTACCAGGCTGTGGGATAGATGGATTGAGAGCAGCCCTGAGGAGGACTTGGGGGTACCACTGGGTGAAAAATGGGACACAAGCCAGCAGTGTGCACTCGCAGTCCAGAAACCAACTGTGTCCTGGGCTGCGTCACCAGCAGCGTGACCAGTAGGTCGAGGGAGGGGATTCTCCCCCTCTGCTCTGCTGAGACCCCTCCTGCAGTCCTGCATCCAGCTCAGGGGCCCCAGCACAAGAGGAACTTTTTACAAGGACATGTACTGACAGGACAAAGGGGAATGGCTTCCAGCTGACAGAGGGGAGATTTAGATTATATTTTAGGAAGTTCTTCCCCATGAGGATGGTGAGGCCCTGGCACAGGTTACCCAGAGAAGCTGTGGCTGCCCTATCCCTGGCAGTGTTCAAGGCCAGGTTGGACGGGGCTTGGAGCACCCTGCTCTAGTGGAAGGTGCCCCTGCCTGTGGCAGGGGGTGGGATCTGGATGGGCTTTAAGGTCCCTTCCAACTCAAACCAGTCTGTGATCCCACACTGTAAGGCCCACGAGCTGTGGTTATTTCTGCAGCATTCGCTGGGCCAGCACCAAACACAGCAGATGACACTGAATTTGACAGGGCTGCTGAGGTTTGACAGTAGGATGTGCCAAGCACAGTGCACTGGTTCCCTTCAGATGCTCCGTCTTTATCCAGTAGCTTCTCTGCTGTCCAGCTCTGCTGTGCCTTGGCCAAGATGCAGCTTTATCTTACTGTGAAAACAGAAAATTAACGGGAGCAGGAGCAAGGCAGCGTCTATTGAGGATATTCTCTTGCTGCATTTTGTCCCTGGCACAAAAAGTGGTGGTTTCAGATAGAAATAATGAGGCACCTTGCCTAGAGCTGGTCATTTTCACGCCTGATCCCAGCAACTTCAGCTTGGCAAGGCAAAGCACAAACCCGTAACAAACTGCTGCCTCCAGCCAGCCACATGGGTTAAATCCCAGGAGCACTTTCTGCTTTCCACCTTGTATTCCTTCCCAAGACTTCTTCTGCCACAGGAAGGGAACTCACCTGAGAATCCATGATGCTGACGAGCTGCTGGAATCGCTCATCCTGCACAATACTCTCTGTTTCCAATTTTTTTTCCACTGCAAGCCGCGAAAGTTGAGTAATTACTAGGGAGGCCTGGTTGCTGGTAAGGGGATGGAGCTCAGTCAGCTGCAGGAGCTCCTGAGGGCTCGTGGCTGTTTCAACCAGTTCCCCAATCACTTTGTACTCTTGACTCCTGCTGTCCTCCGCCAGCTCTCTGACTGAAAATCCGTCCGCCCAGCTGGAAGGGCTTGAAGTATGAAATGAAGTGAGAGGTGCTTGAGGCAGAGCTCTTGCCACCACCACCTTCCCAGCCGGCACCAGCAGGGACGCCGGGACTGTCGAGGCAGGACAGAGGATGGCACCCAAGTGCCGCCAGCAGCAGTGTCGCACCAAGCGCGCTGCCATGGTGGAAGGCTGGGGCTGGAAATCGGCTGGGAGTCAGCACCGCATGTCAGGAGAGGCTGTGAAAGGAAAAGAAACATTTTAGGAACAGGAGAATTGAATAAATAAATAGGTGGTGACAAAATTCTGGCAAAGATTGTGTCCCTGCCTGTGGCAGGGGGTTGGAACTGGATGATCGTGAAGGCTCTTTCCAACCCAAAGCATTCTATGATCTATGACTAGCAATATTGGACACAAGGAAGCAATAAAAGCTTTCTGATGATCAGCTCTCAAAACACTGCTGTGGCAGAGGCACTTCTCCACTGGGGCTAAACTCTTGACAGACCCCCTTAGGAGCTGCTGAACTCCAGCTTGACTTTCCAAGGTGGCACACAGCCACTTCAGAATGGCTGCTGTGG